AAGACCAGACTCACCAGACCAAACCCCAACCTCGACCCGTCCCCATGTCTGTGGCCGAAGCAGGTCCTTGTAGCCCAGGTCTGCAGGGGGTCTTTCCGAGCTCGCCTTCCAAGAGATCTTCTCAACCCAGTTGGCTGGGAGCTCGAGAAGTTAGGGTTTAGGGTTTAGTTGCACGTGGCTTCGTTTTTGTCTCATCGTCACCATCATGCTCATCATCAGCATCATCCTCAGCATCATCATCGTGTGTCCAAGGTTTCTATTTTTGCTGTAAGATGGTCTTATGCTCTGGTGCAGAGCAGCAGCGCACCCACTCAACGAGTCTAGCTTCAAGGTGACGGAAGGGTTTAGGCTTAAACCGGCGAGAGTAGCGGCTGACTACGAGTCGGCTCCCAGATAGGCGCCTCAGTGTTTCGCTTTGGGACTCCAACTGAAGCCTGTCCTGAAAACGCTGAAGCTCAGGCGCACGTGAATCCGCCGGAGGTTGGTCGTCATCGCACGGTGTCTTTCGTCGCCTACTACCCCGAGGTGCAGGGTTCAGGGCGTACTAAGGATCTGAGGGATCGGATGCGATTGACGGCTAAAAAGCTGAGAGTCTTAATATTCTGCGTTCATTGGGAACAAGGATCTAGGTTTGTGATGTGAGTCGGAGTGAGGCATCACTCGTCATCAGCAACAGTACTGCAGCACTAAAGAAACCCTGTCGCATGTTGCCATCTTTGAGAAGCCAGGAGCCAACCGCCCAGGTCTTTCGCGATCTCCGCGCCCATGGATGGGGTGCCTGGGCCCTGGGCCACTCAAGAAAACGACTTGTCACAGGAGTTTTTGGGGATAATATGGCCTCTATTCTTGTCCTTACTATGGAAGCTTGTCAGTCTTGTTGGGTGATAGAGGTACAGAGTCCATCATGGCAACCATAGTGCCACTGCTGTGAATACCAATCGCAAGAGCAGAACAGCATGAACAGCAACATCATCATGACGAGAAGTCAATGCTACAAGAGCAGGAGCAAACCCCTGCTGCTGTTGCTGCTGTTACTACTGCCATGATCCACTGTCATTTTTGGGTTGTTACCATCCTGTTGTCGTCCGGGCAGTCCCAGTTCGGAGGCCAAGGCTTGGCCGGTCGCAGTCAGGCTTTCGATTTCGGATTCAAGGCCTGTAGTATGCAGGTCTTTAGGGTTGAGCACGTTTCGGGCTTCGGTTTTGGGGCTTTTGGCAGGTGCTTTCTACGATGAGCTCCGGTTGCATGAGATGTAATCAGGTGTGTTGAGAGAGTTCCCAAGGGCTTGCGGCACAAGGTTGGCTGGTTCAGGCATCCTCCACATGTAACGCCCGAGAAGTATGGAGGACTTCTCCATCCCTGATGATGTTTCTCTACCGATGCGGCTGCTTCTGGTTCATCCACGTTCAGCCTGTCAGTGTGAAGCTTTGTCAGAAGCAGGGTGTTCCTGGCCGAACGCCATGGGCTGCACCAGTTCGATGGAAATGCTGGAATCAGAATTGACAGAAAGTGCGTTTTTCAAGGATTCCAAGGCGAAACAAATGACTGGACGCTCTCGCAAAGATGGACAGTCCACTTGTGAGGAGGACATACTGAGCTTCGGCACGAAGGCGTCTTCATCCAGCTTGACCTCGGGGACATGCATGCAACCGCTACAGCAAAAGGCCACTGCTACCACAGAGCAGATGGACGCGTTGTCGTCATGGTGCCTCGAGAAGGCACGTGTCGCCGTTCCTGCTGGAATGATCATCCACCATGCCCCAGATCGCAAGTTGCATGAGAAGCACCTCAACAAGCTCGACAGCAGCTCAGCACAGCTTGGAGTAGACCTACTGTCGGCAGTGTTGCTGGGGATCAGAACTTTTGACTTTCCCGACCCATAATAGACATGACATACCAGTAGCCAGGTTTCCTCGCAGATGTGGAAGAGGCGCCTTCAAGCTTGGAGATGATGATCGCCAATCGCCGTTTGACACTCCAGCCACGGAGGTTCCTGGGGGAGGAAAGCCAAGACTCACAGGGCAACGTCGTCATCGAATTCTGAAACTGTCCTTCCGCTTGTGGTAGCCCGCAATCAGGCTACATGGACGAAGATATGCTCAACATTCGATGAGTTGACCACTAAGACTCTAATTACTTATCTCGACGCTGTACGCCTGAAGCCTTGAATGATTCTCCAACTTGTTTTGCACCTTAGTCACTTGCACCTTGAGAGGTTCGCCTTCGCTGACAATTTTTTTGACAGGGACTGCAATAGGGTTCACAACAGGCACAGGACGCGACGGCTCGAAACTCGACAGCTGCTGCAAGTGAAGCCCAAGCCCTAACGGCCCTAACGGGCTTGCCGGATCCTGCGCTCTTTAATTCGTGTCGGGAGAAGTTCCCGTGGCTGCAGTCACGCCTTGGCTCCGGAACCGTTCTGGGTCTGTATGTATGTATGTCTGTCTGTCTGTATATATGTATGTATGTATGTATGTATGTACGTACGTATGTATGTATGTATGTATGTATGTATGTATGTGTGTGTGTGTGTGTGTGCGCAGGTATGCGTGTTTGTGGGTTTGTTCGTATAAACATATTATGGATGGATGTATATGCATGCGAGCAAATTGGAGGCATTTAACGGTAAACTGTTTGTGACAACTTCATACACATATGTACACATATACATGTACACATACAGCCAATCAATTCAATGTATTGTTAGTGGTGGAGTATATGTTGGGTGCATATGTGTACATGTATATATATAAATAGCTGTATATATATACACACATGAAACATGTATATACATACACACTCATACACATGTCATATGTGTATATAAGTTGTATATGCATGCAAGGTGAATGCAGGTACATGTATAGCACATTCTTATCTGTCTGTCTTTGCACACATACAGTATGTATAGTTTTTGCCTGATGTGTATCTGTGTGTGTGTGTATGTCTGTCTGTCTGTCTGTCTGCATAAATTATGTGTGTAATCCCAGGCGAACCTGAGGTTCAGCAGTCATAGAGTAAGATCTGAGGATAAGGGGTTGTCTCGCCATGTGCATACACGCACAGAAGTTTAAATAAGTAAGTACTCAATTTTTTATATTTTTATATGTGTGTATGTAATCTTACATACCTATCGATGTACCGACCGACCGACCTACCTATACCTACCTACCT